TTGTGAAAGGCCTCTCTAGGCAATAGAGTGCTACACAAATACTTGCATTCATTCATGGTCTCTGCACTCAGTGAGTGGCTCTGATGGTGTAGTAGTTAAAGTGCTTGCCCACCAACCAGAAGGTCAACAATTGGAATCCACCAGCCACTCTATGTTACTCTGGTGGTACAGTGCCTAAGGCATCTGACTGCTAACCAGAAGCCTGGCAGTTCAAACCCACCAGCCACTCCTCAGAAGGAAGACTAATCGACCCAATGGCAGTGGAGTTTTTTTTTTTTTTTAAGCCGCTCCACATGCTCTTTGTTGTCTGTGGGAGAAAGATGTGGCAGTCTGCTTCTGTAAAGATTACAGCCTTCAAAACGCTATGGGGCAGTTCTACTTTGTCCTGCAGGGTCATTATGAGTCAGAATTGATTCAGCAGCAGTGGGTTTGGTTTGATTTGGTCCTCAAGGAGGTTGCCAGACCAGTGCAGTGTGGCTAAGAGTCTCAATGATTATGCAATGCAGGGTGACATTAAGGTCAAAATGTAGTGGGAGAGTCAAGTTCTCTTAGCTTGCTTTTCAAACCATCTAGGGTGAAAGATGGGAGCCCTGGTAGCATAGTGCCTAAGGCACTTGACTGCTAACCAGAAGGCTGGTGGTTCAAACCTACCAGCCACTCCTTGGAAGGAAGATGGGACAATCCACTTCCGTAGTGATACTGCCTCAGAAACCCAAGGTGGGGTCTCTATGAGTTGGGTCCAACTCGACAGCACACAACAACAGGGTGAAAGACCAGGGTTTTTTCCACTTCCAATCAATCAAGAATTGATACTTTTGTAAAATATAAAATCATACAATTGGATGTGGTGACAATGCCAAATTGATATCAAAGTGTTTAAGCACTTATTCTCCCGTTCTGTACATACCACAGACAAGTGACAGCGTACAGGCCAGTGTGTCTCTAAGTGAGACCCACAGACCACTGCTGGTCCAAGCATGTGATGACTAGGCTTGGATCCTCCTTGACCAATAGTTCAATTTGCAAATTAATTTTACAAACAGTTCATGAAGGGAAAGCCCAGCATGGATCACAATTAAAAACTGAACTTCATTTTCCAGATGGGCTTTGAGAGGCTGTGGCCCTGGGGCAGGTAGGGACAAAGGGAGGCAGTTTCAGGCTGGAAAACAGCATAAGAGGTGGGGGAGAAATGTGCTTGGCACATTTGGGAAGCATGGAGAAGACAGTTTCCTCTGGTGAAAGAGGTGGGTCCTGGGCAATAGTGAGAGCTACAAGTCAGCAAAGATCAGATGGTGAGGACCTGGAATGCAAGACAGAATATTCTAGATCTTGTTCCATAAGAAATGAAGTCCCTGGAGATTCCTGCAGAGAGATGTGCCATGCATTTTCTTTATTATGATTACATATGGACTCCTATCTGCAGCATGCTAGATTGAAAGATTAGTCTTATTTGTGTGTCTGGCTCCTGCCACATGGTAGGTGCTCACCGAGTGGAAAGTGTTGGTTGCTAAGGGGAAGAAGAGAGGAGGAGCTTTAGAAAGCACACTGGCCTGGGCAGATTGGGTGGGGTGGAGTCTGGTTTGGGTGAGAATGCAGCTGTGACACACAACACAGCAGTGGGAGTAAGCAGAAGGCACCCAGGGGAGATACCTGCCGAAGGCAAAGATCGACAAGCCTCGAGAGCAAAAGGAGAAGTGAGCCAAAGACTGTGCAGCCTGGGGCTGGGGGGAGGTGAGGACACTAGTGGACATGCCTCCTCTCGTCCTGTCCAGTGTGGGACATGCAACATTTGCATAGATCAAGACCCCAACCTTCAGCCAGGTTTTCCTCTCTTGCCTCCCAGTACTTCCCCTTGGGCACACCTGTCAGGATCCCAGCCAAGCTCCCTCCCCTCTCCAGGCTTAGCTGGATGACACAGTCAGCTGCTTTAAAGCTCCCTGGGAAATCCATTCCCAGGGCCACAGCTGCAACAGGTCCCCAAAAGCCCTCCCTACTGCGCTCCTCCTTCGGAGTAGGGGAAAAGGCCAGGCCGAGCACCTGCCCCACAAGTGCTGAGGGCTGTGAGTCAGACCAGATGGCCTATGAGCCAGAGACCCTGGCAGCAACAGGAATTTCCCCAGCACAGGCTCCCTTGGGCGTCTGGGGCCTCCAGCCCAGGAAGGGCTGTGCTGGCTCTTTTTCTTTGGGGTCAGTCTTCCTCTGTTCTCCCCAGTGCAAGAGCATCCCTTTCACAACAGCTGCCTCAGGGCCCCTGCCTCCCCAACCAGCTTTGCCCTCCCCATGATCTCACTTGAGAGTCCAGGTGGCTACAGATGCCACCTAGGGCACTGCTGGACCACATCCAGACTGACCTACACAGGATATACAATCCCCTCATTCCCCAATCAGCTAAAGGCCGATGCTAGGCCACAACCCCAAAGGCCTGCACTACCTTGCAAACACTGCCCCTTGAAGACTTTGGCCCTTGTAGACACTGGCCCCACAGCTGAGCAGGTTTATTACACTGCCAACCCTGCACATTTGGACTCTGCTGTTTTTAAAGCACACTGGGAGGCAAACAGGCCAGGTACTATAAGCAGCCCTCGTTTGACATTGAAGCTCAGAGAGGTTAAGTTATTTGATCAAGGTCACACAGCTAGGAAGCAGTAAATCCAGGTGCTCTTTCCTTTGAGATCAAACTGAGGTTGCTGTGCCCTCTGAAGGAGATAGGTTGGGCCTGGGTAAGGGCAGGGACCAACATTTGCTGAGTGTTGGGCTCATTGGTGCTTGAACTCATTTATTGTCACAGAGGTCTAGGAGGAACACATCTTTATCATCTCTGTTTTTCAGAAGGGGAAGGTGAGGTTCAGGCAGTGACTTATTCAAGGTCACACGGGGTCAATAGTAGAGTTGGGATTGAACTCAGGTCTCTGGAATTCCAAAGACAGTGGCTTTCCTTCAGCACTGGCCCCTGTTCCAGGCTGGGGAATGTATGCCCCATGACCCTTCTCCACTCACTTGGCTGTGCCCCTCTTGCTCTCATTTGTCCATCCATTTGTCCTTCCATACACTTCCATACACTTCCATACACTTGCTTCTGATTTCTTTGTGTCCTTTGACCCCTCAGGGCATCAGAAACCCTGCCTCTCAGAGATGTGCCTTTCCTGTGATTCCAGGGAGTCACAAAGACAAGTCACAGGGTTGTGGGGTCTTTATTTGTGGTGGGAGGCAGATCACGGAAAGGGCCAGTTTGCCTTGCAGATCCTGCATGGCAAAGCTGACTGAGGAGGGCGGGGTCATGCGTGCGAGTGGACAATTCCTGCTAGGCTCTGACTCCAACCTGTTCCTCCCCAGCCCCCCAACTTCAGCCTACATGTGCCCCTCTACCCACTCCTCACGGTGATGGAGGAGGAGAGTGGAAGGACATCCCAGGAATCAGAAGGTACAGCCTGGAGAGCCTGCTGAAGCCAGAAATTCCTTTGAAGTTCCTTGTTTTACCTTTCAAATTTATGTGAATTTTTCAATCCAGGCCATAAAATATCCATGTTTGCTTTAATATTAAAGTGTTTAAAAATTACTTACCAGTTCAATTGCTTAACTTCTATCCCCTTGTCTTCCTTCAAATCTTCCAGTAAAATTGGCAGGGCCACTCTTAGCACCCAGCAGGTTCCCCAACCTCCCTCCCTCCTCAGAGAAGCCAGCTCACCTCCAGCTGGGACAGACCCCTCCTCTGCCATCGCTTTTCACTTCAGCCACCATTCACCCTCATTCTCTACCCCGAGGCAGAAAATCTCAGGCTCCCTGCCCTGCCGAGAACATGTCCCTATAGGGCTGAGTTAAAAATCCAGAGCCCCCGGCTTCCCTTACTTTCTTGCTCCAAGTTTACCCTCCTCAGCTGGAAGGGGCTAAAAGAAAGGAACCAGCTGTCTTTAGCATTGGGTAATAATTATTGCTCTGTGTTTAAGGGAGAAGGAAGGCAGGCTCTTACGGCCCACAGGACTTGCTCTCTGGAGCCCTCCTCACTTTGGGTAACACCAGAGTATCCCCAGACCTCAGAGGCTATGGTACCCAGAAGCCTGGGCCTTTGTTGGCTGGCCCTGCAGCCTACAATCCACAGGGCTTGAAACAGTGCCCGGCTTCTCCTTCTCTCCTACAAAGAGACTCAGTAATCTGCATCTCTTTCCTCTCAGTTTGATCAGACTCTCTGAGCTCCCTTGGTTCCCTTCCTCCAGGTTCTCTGC